CCAAGATTTTTCTGACCAAAGTGGGGTCGGTTCCGGCAGGACAGTACCTCTTTGCAGGCGTGAAGCTCCCGTTCCGCTCCCTGGGTCACCTGGAAGGCGGTCCCGACCCAGAGCAGCAGCCGCAGGAGCCGGAGCCTGCGCCGCTCCGTTCCTCCCCTGCCTCTGGCAGAGGGATGGAGGCTGCGCCCAGCATCAGCCATCGCGGTGTCCTGAGCTGGCGGCGGCCGCGACTCAGGTGCCGCAGCTGCTGCTCCCGCTGGCAGAAGGCGGAAAAAAGGGGAGGGAGGTTCCTAGGGGGAGGATGCAAGGGGCTGGGCTCACTTCAGTCACCTCCAGGCCACCACGCCAAAGCCGCCCATCCTTCCTCCTCCCTCCTTCCTCGTCTCCTCCTACCCACGTCGCCTTGTCAACCGCCTTCTCTTTCCTTCCGCGCGCGCGCGCGCGGGAGGGGTAGGGACCACGCGATGCTCTGCCGCTCACCTGCCGGTCGCCATGGCAGCCGTCGCTGCTGGCGCGCGCCGCGTGGAAGTGCGCGCGCCAGGGACGAGGGGACGAGTGAAGAACGCGGCGGGAGCATCTCCGAGCCATCGCCACCAAATTCATGTTTCCCACTGCCCTTGCGGCCCCGGCCGTGCGCTATGAGCATCTCGGATTCTGCAGACGTGGCGGTGGACAGATACTGAGCACGTCCTGAGTGTAAAGCGCTAGAAAGATGGAGACGTCGTCTCTCTCTAGAAGTTACAGCCTACAAGAGTGGCTTAGAAGGTGTTACCTACTGCAAAGACGGCCGCTCCAGGTCCCTCCCTCCACATCCGTCCGGGCCTTTGCGGCCGGCTTGATGCGAAGCCTTGAGACTCATAGTTAAACCGGGTTTAAGCAAGGATTGTTTGCTTGGGCGGCAGTTTTCCCAGCACGACACGTGTGCTCTTCCGTCTCTGGACATTCCCATTCTCTTATTGCTTTGAAAAATCCTTTTGTTAGATGCGAGGGAGAAGGGCATTTCTGGGTCATCTTTTAGGATTCCGTTTGCTGGCCGAAGCCTTTTGCATTAGTCCTGCATGCCGGGAGGCCTCTATTTTTCCACCTAAGGTCCTGGAGGGCAAATCCAGGGCTCCTGGAGGTATGGGCAGTGGCTCTTTCCTTCTGTGTTCCCAGTAGCTTCCTCCCGAGGGGCCTCCCACGTTTGACCGCCAGGTGGCGCTCTTCTTGATAGGAATTCACCTGTCATAGACGGCGGGGCAGTTGCCTGGCAACCGAAAGCCTTCCAAACAATTGGGACCCGCGATCCTCTGTGTGCAGGGTTGTGTGCGGCTGCGCCAGCCTCCCGTTCCTCCCAAGAGCTTCTCATTTGACCATGCCTCCCACCCGAGACCCTTTCCAGCAGCCAATGCTGAATAACGATGATTCCGGCCCGAGGAAACCGAGGGCTTCCAAGGTACTGTAGCTTCTTGCGCAGTCCTGGTGGCCATGGCACTCTTCTGTCTGTCGTGAGGGGGAACTTAAAGGACTCGGGTGAGGACACTGAGGTCCTGGACAAGTGCCTCCATGTCCCCATGTTCGGGTCGGCTAACGTTTCAGGGGTGCTTTGGGGCAAAGAGTAGTAAAGCTCTAGACCAGAGGAACTAGGGGCTCTCACCAAAGCAGATTGGTGTAATGGGGCTGAAACAGGCCCAGGAGTCGCCAAGTCTTTGCCCTGTTTTGAAGGCGGCCCTCTAAAAGGCTATGAGATGTGGAGGGGGAGAAAGTCCTCTGAAAGCCACCTGGTCATGTGTCTTCGCACCGTCTCTGTACTCTGGTTAATACTGGAACGTGTGTATGTGTGGCAGCGGCTTGGGAATTCAAATGATCCTTTTTCTAATAGAAATGGCTGGGATGTTTGAAGTGGTGCAAACTAAGGAGAATTAAATAGTCATTGTGGCTTAATAATAAAATCAAAGAGCTCCTTTTGGTTTATTCATCATTTATTATCTACTATATACCAGGTACCACTAAACACTGAGGAGCTATAGATTTGCAGCTATAGATATAGATATATTAGGTATAGCACCTGCTCTAAAGAAACTAGTAGAAAAGCCAGACTGACATCATGAACAGCTATAACGCTTGCACAGTAGCATGTGTGTTGTGAGTTATACGAAGTGTGTCAGGAGAACTGGGAGCTCAAAGGGGAGCAGGCGAGTTTTGACATCAAAGTATGAGTGAGCTGAGCCAGGTGAGGGAGGAGGTGAAATGTGAGTTGGGAAGAAAGAAACAGGAACCAGACACTGGTCACCAGCAAGACAAAGGAAGCAGCAGGTGATCAGACGCCCGAAGAGGGGTGAAAGTGTGACCTGTTTGGGGCCGAGGAGGGGGAAGAGGAGTGGAAAGAGCAGGCGCTGGAGAATGACCTTTCTGGGCTGGGTGTGCTGTGTGCACCATTCCACTGAGCTAGGATTTCATCCTGGAGGGGCTGGGAGTCACATCAGGATCTGAAGCACTAGAGCAGCGGTTCTCAACCTGTGGGCCGCGACCCCTTTGGGGATCGAACGACCCTTTCACAGGGGTCGCCTAAGACCATCGGAAAACACATATATAATTACCTATTTTTTTGTGATTAATCACGATGCTTTAATTATGTTCAATTTGTAACAATGAAAATACATCCTGCATATCAGATATTTATATGACGATTCATAACAGTAGCAACATTACAGTTATGAAGTAGCAACGAAAATAATTTTATGGTTGGGGGTCACCCCAACATGAGGAACTGTATTAAAGGGTCGCGGCGTTAGGAAGGCTGAGAACCCCTGCCCTAGAGCCACACAACAGATGGGTGTTTCAGAAAGCACAAGTGGCAGTGGACTGGATGGGCTGGGCGTGAGACAAGAGGGCTCAGCTAGGAGGCAGCAAGCTCCAGGAGGAAGAATAATGGACCTAAAGCAGTGATGCAGGGCATGGCGATAAGTTGCAGATAAGAGAGATGCAAAAGGCAGGACTGATGGGACTGGTGGCTGACTGGATATGAGCCCAAGAGGGCAGATGAGTCTAGGGTGACTCCCCGTTCCTGGGGGCTTAATTGATACCATTTACTGAATGAGGCCTCAGGGTAAGCAGGGTTGGGGAGAGAGAGATTCAGATCAATGATGTAGATGCCGCTTTTGTGGTGCCTGTGGGACACTTAAGTGGGAACAAATAGCAGGCAGTTGGTTGGGAGTTCTGGGCTGAAGATGTACATCTGGAAACCACAGTGTCCATATGGTGGTTGGAGCCACGGGAAGGAATGAGCTCATCCAGCAAATGTGAGAGTGAGGAAAGCAGAAACGAAGC